ATATTCTGCACCTCCTTCTTTTCCTTCTTAGCATCAATCACAAATGCTAGATATTATGTACATCCCTTGGCCAAACACTTTCTGGCTTTCATTAGGGAAATGATTCTAGAGTTTACTCTGCGTTTGTCTCCATACACCATAAACGACTCTTTCCCTGGCGGTTTTACTTTTACTATCTTCTTCCTGCACAATATTTCGGCATCATTGGCGCTAAGCCAATCCATTCCTAGAACGATGTCGAAACCGTTTAACTCGATAGGCAATAATTCCTCATGGAACTTATTCCCATTCAAGTCAATGAAGATGTTTTTCATACGATGGCTAACAGGTATAAACTTGCCACTAGCAACCTCGACTATTAAAGCATTATCTAGTCTATCAACAGGCAAAGCTAATTTTCTACCAAATTCACGCGAAATAAAGGAGTAGTTGGCTCCAGAATCAAAAAAAATTTGGGCAGGCAATTCGTTTACGAGAAAGGTACCTGAAGCGACATCAGCTTCTTCTTTCACAGCTTCAAGTGTCATTTGGAAGGCTCTGGCTTTTGGCTTTGGTGGAATGTTGGGTTTTGCTGCCTCCTTCTTTTTCGGACAGTCTTTCAAAAAGTTCCCTTCCTCGTTACATCCAAAGCATACCCTCTTGTTGGGCGGACACTCATTGGCATAATGCCCAGTCTTTCCACATTTGTAGCAAGTCACATCCTCACTACATTTCCCAGAGTGCTTTTTCTTGCACTTTTCACACCAAAACGTTTACATGCTAGTTCTAATATCGTAGTCGTACGCTTAGAATCCTAAACACATAAAGTTTCCAGATCCGGTCGACAACAGACCATAGATCCGAACAAATAACATCATATATGGCAAACATATAACATTTAGCATATAAAAGTATTTTAGGCATCTTTCCTAAAATATACTAGTGCTCGTGTCTAAAATATGGTAGACACTCATCACACGATCATCACTTAACATTCTAAGTTTAAGTCTAGAAATCCTACAAATTCCTAGTTCGCTTAAACTAATGCTCTGATACTAACTATGACATCCCCAAATTCACGGCCAGAAAAGACCGGTTTAATTTATACTTTTAAAATAATTTCAGAGTAATCCTTTGATTCAAAGAGTTGCGGAATTTGTTCCCAAAACGAAATATGATAAAAAAAAAGATTTACCAAAGCATTTCTTGAAGAAATGTATTTTCATCATATAACAAAACTTGGGATGTCATGTTCCGATACAGACCAAAAGCATAAACGGCACATTATAAGCCTTACAACAGCTATATTCACTACAGGCCTATAATCAAAATATCTTGATAAGTCGTTCAACTTATGCTCTCGCGCCACTACCTGTAATACAAAGAAAACTGAGTGGGTCAGGCTTGGGAGGCTGGTGAGCATATACGGTTTTCAACCCACAACAAATAAATTTATTAATTTCATCAAACAACAATACCCCGATTACCCATTCCCGTTATCCTCACTTTACGTCCCTAAAACAACTATCACAAGGGACCTAATCTAAGGATTTTCATCGGGGCGACAACACTGCTTAGGGGGTTTCCCAGCAATTTATGTCAAATAAGGCAACCATGTGGGGGATGAAGTACAACAAATGAACACCCAAGCTCATTAACACCTACAGGTTGGGAGCCTGCCAGCGTTCCACTGGACTGTCTAGAAAAGTCTGTGGTCGTCATCCATACTCCGCTAGATGACTGGATCACAATAACATTGAGGCCTCTCATCATTTTATTTCATCACACATCAACTATCTACTCATGTTTTACCCAACATATTTGTAGATAAAAATACATATACAGTTTAAATGATTTAAAAACCTGTATAAATCATTCATTCATCATCCATCTCAAATAACTAGACAATATATATATTCACATAGCACGTATTTTATATAAAATACTTATATATGTGTAAGATGAAAGTGACTATACACTCACTTTATTTAACGATAACCTGGCAGCACTTCGTTTCCTAAAACAATCGTTTCTGATAAAACCGGGGGCTTTAATGAAAAACCGGGCTCTGCGAGGGTTGGGCTTCAAAACCGAAAAGATAAATTTCTCGGGCTCTTCGGGCTCTTTGGGACGTGTTTCGGTTATTGAAAATAATACCGGGGCTTTGGGGGAAGTTGGAATGGAAGAAATATGGGTCTAGGGATGAAATATGGCACTTTTCCAAAATATACCCGGGAGGTCTCGCACCTCCCTTATATAGGGTGAGAAGGCTCGGAATTCGAAGGTGAGGGGGCACGTGTCAGAGGCTCGGACGCGCTACGTGGCTCGGTTCGGAACTGCCACGGCTGCGACACGCGTCGGAAATCAATTGGACCTCGGTTTCGGTCGAATCAGCAGGCGGACACGGGGCGCTTCGCGGGCGAGGGTGACGTGGCCGAAGTCTGACCATGCGAAATTTCTCTGATTTTGGGATTTTCTCGATTTTTGTGTCCCGAACTTCTAAAATCCATATATTTCGCATACGGACTCCGTTTTTTACATTCTTTATATTGACGCGTAGGTAAAATTATGCTCTGCAACTTTCGTTTAGACTTCGTCGGCTAATTTTAAATTTAATTTTTATATTATTATTTTTAACAGACCGGGACAGAAAAATCCGTTTAGGTTGTGTCGGCTAAAAATCACTCGATCTAAAATTCGAGTTTTTTAGTTGTCTACTGCTAATGCTGAAACTTAGAAAAATCATAACTTCCTCATACGAAGTCAGATTTGAGCGTTCTTTTTATATATACTCTCGGTTTAACGAACACTACGACTTTCATTTAGATTACCAAGGCTAAAAAGTAGTTTATCAAAAACTCACTTTTTACGTCATTCGGCGTCGTGCCGGTTTTGTCGCGGAACTTCGACAGGTCATAACTTCTTTGTTATAACTCGGATTTCGGTATTGTTTATATATCCGGAATCCTTGTCACGACTACTACAACTTTCTTAATAGATATCGACTTTATCTAATATTTATTTTCGACGCTTATTTTTAATCTTAATTAATTAAATCCTAATAATTAAGCATAAAACACATAATTCACATAATAATCACATAATTCCTCTTTATTTCTTCAAAATGAGTTACAAAGTTTGACCTAGACTATTACATTATCATTAATGCCTATCCTGGAAACACGGGAGTTACAGCAGGAGGCTACCACCGCTAGCAAACCACGGTCACCACCGTGTTGCTGCTGTTTTTGATCAATTGTCTTCTCAATTAGTCGAAATCGAAGCTTTATTGTGAGATTCTTGTACGTGTTCCCTTCATATTCTCGATTTGACGACGAACCCTAATCGAACCTTGCCTTGGATCGACCTTCAATTGACCTTCTTTCTTTTTCTCTGACTGTATAGACAATTATCAACTTGGTAGTTTCAATATACCTCATACGTACACAAAAATATATAGGTTTATGTATTTATACAAGTTTTAGGACTTGTATCTTAGGCTCATACACGTGCTTGTGTACACTACCCTAAATTTTATCAACTGTTTAAACAAGTATCGTACATTTTTATGTTTACGCTTATCAAATATACTTGTTATTCATCCGTTTATCCGTATCTGTGGTTGTTAAGTACAACCTTGGCAGATAACTTTATCCGTATATCCGTATGTATATTTATCCGTATTTGCGGTTGTTAAGTACAACCTTGACATATAACTTTATCCGTATATCCGTATAACCATGGGCTTGGTTGCTTTCAAAACTGTTTTAAGTATGTAATTACTTATGGAACATAAAATTTTGGCTTTCAAAGATTCATTACAAACATAGTTTTATGTATGGATTTACTTATACAAACTATACATTTTGGCTCTTAAAGACTCATTACAAACATTATTTTAAAACTATACATTTTGGCTCTTAAAGACTCATTACAAACATTATTCATTACAAACATAGTTGTTATATTTAAAAAAAATACTTTTTGGACTTTTTAAAAGTATTACTGTGGTTAGCAAAAAACCTGTAACGTTCACCAACATTTGTGTTGACCCTCAAACTTACATGTATTCTCAGGAAATCATTAGACAAGCGTTCAGACAAAAGATTGGTCATGGAATATAGACGACCTAGCTATCTAGTTTTTGTTATCTGCTTACCTGTTTAAGGAAACTACTGTACTATTATTATCTGTAAGAACCCTATATTCAAACTTAATGATGGAATACAAATGTTGTTTTGTTTATCGTTGTGCTTGTGCCATATATTCAGTTTATCTGTGATCCATGAACTTAGTCGCACTCCCGGCATGTTCAGCATCGGCCGGGGGTGTGACAGTAGAGTTGTTAGAGTCCCCACCACCTCCTATCATCTTGTCATATGTGTATCAACGACATTGATTGTACAAAATTTCCTCGTTGTTTTCCTGTTTGCCCGTAAGGTAATGTCAGTCCTTAATTGGTATGGTATCTTCAGCCAATTTTCCAATCGGTTACGGAGATTCTTGTATTTGCTGCCAACTGGGGCGTTGTCCTAAGAAGAGAAAAGTGTTCCTTGACATTATCTATAGGTACCCTGGATCATTTGGAAAGCAACTAACGATAAGTTTTCAACAAGATTCAATGTACTCCTTCAAAAATGACGGTTACATCATCACTATGGTTTTCAATTGGGTTAACTTTAGAGGTAATTTTCGTATTTGTAAGTGGGCTGAGTGGGTTTGTTGCGCGTTCAACATTTTGTAAAACTCTTTGTTGTTTCCTCTATGCCTGACCCTTTTTCTCTTCGGCAAGGTTTTTATGCATTTATATATTTCGCCGTTTCCAAAAAAAATTAATTAAAAAAGTCGGGTAACTGGCTGACAAAAATAATTGACTTTAATTTGGAACTGAAATTCTAACACTACAACACTTGAGATTCGAGCTATTGACCATGCCTGCAAATATACCACTTGATAAAACGGTTATTACGACAATAAAATTTTCTAACATATTACGTTAATATTTCATTTGATTTTCATAGTTTGATAATTTATAAGTACAAAAACTATATTATATAATTGCTAAATGCATAGTACAAATTCCGAATTTGACCAAGTTCAACGATTTTGAACATGTGAAAATCGAATGATGCATTGATTACTGCTAAAACCCGCATTCAATTTTCTACGCTTAATGCTTGTACTATTCTCGCTTCCGTTGCTTGTACATTGATGGTCAACAACACTAATCGACTCATTTGTATCCGATACCATGTCCCGCATTACACCTAAGCATTCCTCCAAACTTTCCTATAATCAAGAACCCACAAGAATGAAAATGTAATACGTTGCTAATATATGGTTAAAAGAATAAAAACTTATATTTCTTATCTATAATAACAACATACTTATCTTTTTACGGAGAATATCAAAATATACCAATAGAAGTATGTTATTATTATGGGTAGAGAAATGTAAGTATATCATTATAATCTATAAATAAATAGAAGCATATTGCTATAATGGATAAAGAAATGTAAGTACTTTAGTTTTTATCCACAATAGGAATGTACTTACATTTTTTATCCCTAATAGCAAGATACTTATATTTATTTACCTATAATAACAATGGACTTCAATATCTACCAATGATAGCATATAAGTAATCTATCACTCGTATACTTTTTACAAGTAAATAAATAAAATACATTCCTTTTTGCATTTTAAGGAATTTGAAAACAGCAAGATGGCTTACTTTGTTTAGATATTTACAAGAGGAAATTGCAGCTTTGAATTGAGAATGTTGAAGAGGAATGATGAGATCTTGAGATGCATGAAGAAGAGCAGATGCTGCAATCACTGATGGTCTAAACTCTAATAACTTATTTTCTGTTATAAAAAGAAAAAAGAAAAAACGAAAATTATGAACAATACATTAATTGAACTTTATGAAATATATATATTCCATCTGATAGATAAAGGGAAGAATAAAGGGACAATACAAGGGAGATTTATTAAAGATAGCACATTAGCTTATATGATAATGATAATTAAAAATTCTTCAAGTAATGCAAATGAAGTTGCAATCTGCTTATTATGTGGTTAATGAAATGTTCAGAAATTAAGATGATTGGTATTACCATAAGGAGATCTCAATAAGATCTGTGAAGCTCGATCTTTAATAGCGTTTGATAAGCATGGATCTTGGAGCTGGAACAACGAAAGGAAGAAATAGAGGAACGAAAATGGTGTAATTGATCGCATTCGCCATTTAAGAGAGGAGAGAATCAGAACCTCCATTCGACTAATTGATTTTGCATCGTAAATTGAACATTCGTATCCCTAAATCCATCAACATTGCAACATAATTACAGAAACTCCTTCGATTTTAACCAACACACACGTCAAATCGACTCACCTGTAACTTAGGAGTAGCTAAATCGTCGATCTTCATTTTTACAGCGAGAGAAAGGCACGAAATCGCCACAAGCCCAACGATCCATGGCTTCTTTTGATTCTACAACATTAATATCACATCAAAACACACAATTTAGCATCGTTTGTGAACCAAAAGCGTACAATTAAGCAAAAAGCACTTCGTTCTTACCACAATTTTTTGAGTAGAGATGAATCGATCCATGTAATTAATTGCGAGATAAGTTACGAACGGATCCAAATTTTCAGAAAACTGCGTCATTACAACAAAAGATTGAACGAATCAAAACCAGAAAACCAACACGAAGCATCAAATTACACCGGAATTAAGTCGACACCTTCGTAATAACCGTCAACGCTTCCCGGCGAAAATTGGCGGGAAAATTGTGAGGAACGAGAACAGATTCATCGGCGAACAGAGACGGAACTGTATCGGTTTGATGCTCTCTGAAGCTCGTCAATGGATTTTCAAGATCAAAGAAGAAATCCATTACATTTACAATATTTGTGAATATTTTTACCTTCTGAAGATAGCCATTGAAGAAGCTGTATTAAATTTGGTTTCCGAAGAGGGTAAACAGAAGTGGATGTGCAGGCATTTTTGGAAGAAAGTCCAGAACTTGTTGTTCAGTTTTCAATTCACCAGCTGTTATGTCGAATATATATATATACATACCCATCTATGTCTACCCCACAAACGTAAAGTCTTATCCTAGCATTAATACTTGTAACCCGTGCATTAAATCTTGTACACATCCATTAGCATTATTTTATTTTTTGGATATTATGAGTTAGGACTATTGTCTTTAAAATAATAGAAAGAGAATTTGGATAATTAAAAAACATCAAAATGAACGTGTGATCTAATGAAAATAAAATATATACAACCAAAAAAAGACTTAACTCATGGTACTAATATTAATACAAATTAATCTTATTTTTCACTTAATGTTTTATAAAAAATCCTTGAACAAATTAAACATATGTAGTCTTACTCCTTTTGCTTCGATTCTGTATGGACATTGCTAAACTTTTCTTTGGTTTAAGGATATGTCAGCCGGTACACATAGAAGAGGAAACTTTGAGCTTTGACAAAGGATTGTGCAGGTCTATCGATGATATGGTGGTATGTGGAGGCCCCTTCTTTGGAGATATTCAGTGGCGTCTGACTTCCTTACCTATTCGTTTCGGCGGTTTGGGTTTGTACTCGACATACGAAGTTTCCTCCTACGCATTTGTAGCCTCGACGGCCTAATCTTGGGCATTACAAGACCATATCTTACGTGACAGTGGTGTATATGGTATGAGCTCGGATTACCTATATGCTATGACTCGTCTTCGCGATACGATTCCGGGATTTGATTGTAGCGGTTTCACTAATAAGGACATCGCCCCCCTTAAATCCCAAAAAACTTTGGCGTATGCTAACTATCCCTATTGATGGTCTTGGCCAGCATATGTCTCCTGTGGAGTACCGAACTATCCTTCGTTACCGCCTCATGATTCCCTTATTCCCAATTGACGAGATATGTCCAGTTTGCCGCAAGGCATGTTTGGATACCTTTGGGGAACACGCGGTTCATTGTAGAGAGCTTCCTGGTTTCAAGTATAGACATGATGTGGTTCGGGATGTTCTCTTTGATGCTTGTCGGCGTGCTGGTATTTCTGTGAAGAAAAAAGTGCTAGCGAACTTTTTGATGGACCCGCAGGATGGAAGGTTTACACTTAGACCGGCTGACATTTTGGTCTTTGGATGGATAGGAGGGAAGCATGCATGCGTGGATCTTACTGGGGTCTCTCCTCTCGTTGGTTCGGGGAGCGGGAGTTTCACAGCGGGGCATGCCGCTTTGAAAGCCGATGCGTGCAAAGTGGTAAAGCACGAGAATGCATGTATAGAAAATCAACATGTGTTTGTACCTTTTGCATTCGATACATTTGGTTTTCTCGCACCAGAGGTGGTGGAGATCCTCAATAGAGTCCAGCGGGTCATGCATTCTGATGTCATATCTCCTAGATCCACAAATGTTGTTTTCAAAAGAATTGGTTTTGCCATCCATAAAGGGCTAGCGGCGCAGCTTGTTGCCCGTTTGCCTCCAATCGATATGTATTGAACTATATTAGTGTTTATTAAAAATTACATAAGGATGTTTATAATAAAAAATATATACATGTTTTATTTGTTTAGAAAACGAATTTACTTTTTTGCTTAAATAATAATTTAGGATATTATTATTATTATTATTATTATTATTATTATTATTATTATTATTAGATAAAATTAAAAAAAGATTCGCTTTATTATTTTCTTTTATTTCATATACTATTCAAATCATTTTAAAATGATATAATAATAATAATAATAATAATAATAATAATAATAATAATCCGTAAGTAAGAGTCTCCGTCCACCACCACCACCACCACCATTTACCATCCGACTCCAACAAAATGTTTTTGAAAACTTACCATATTGAACAGCTTTGTATAAGTATAGGACCAATTTTGCCAACTTTAAACCAAATGGGCAAATTTGACAAAAACAAAAAAACTTAATAATAATAATAATAATAATAATAATAATAATTAGTATATACTATCAATTCCTAAAAAGCTAAGTTACAGTAACTTTCTTCTCTTTCTTATTTGCACACAAAACTCTTCTTCTTTCTTATTTTGCCACTTCGGTTTCTTATTTGGACACTGGAGCTTCTATTTGTCGTTATTTCGCACACACCGCCATAGCTTTTTCCATGTTTATCTTCTCTTCCTCAAAGCCAGTTGCCGCCCTTCTCCTCCAATAGTGTTCGTTTCCGTTTTTCTTATTTGTTTCCTTTCTTCTTACTCTTTCTTCCTCTTCACCTTTTGCGATTGTCTTCTTCGTCGCAGTCTCTCTTGAAGTCTCCGGTTTCTCTTCTTATCCCAACCCTAAATCGATTGAAGGGATATTGATTATCAGACCAACGTTCTCTGCGAAACCCTAACCCCCAGAAAAACCTTTTTCGTTTCACTTATTGTAATCGATTGGGAATTTCTTTCATCAACTTGACGATTTCGACAGGGAAATCAACAACGCATACCGACGCTGATGCTGGTGGTGGTGCGATGGCGATGGTTTCCGGTGGCGGTGGCTGGAGGTGATGCGAAGGTTGAAGTTTCCTCACGACGTATACCACCACCAGCAAGTGAGGGCGTTGATCAAAGTGAGCTTCTTCTCAACATACCATTTTTTCTATTTCTGATTTTCGCCTTCAGATTAGTTACGCCATCAATTGAATCTTTTCATTTTCGATTTTCAGATAGATGGAGGTCGGTTGCAAAATTGATATTCTTTTTTCACTTCTGGTTCTAGGTATTACGTTTTTTGTCCAACATACTTCTACACTTTTGTGAAATTGGTGAAACCACGGAATAGGTGCGGGTTACCCATGTTTTCTTTTTTGCTTATTGCTCGCGCAGTTCGCATAGATTGCAATAGACGGTAATATATTTTTCTTATGATCAATTGCTTATACCCTTATCTTATTTCGTGTTTTCCCAAAAAAATTACGTGTTAATATACCCTGTTATACTTCATACCAACACAAACATTGGTAAAATTACTATTCTACCCTGCTGCTAGAGATGAAAGATGATCTAAGGCAATTTTTTTTGCTTTATTCAGCTCCCTCTGATGCCCCTCCTGTTGCAGACAACTTAGATATGTGACACCAGACTTCTTAGGAAGCAGTTGCAATGGCAGCCGAAAAAGAAAATGTACTCTTGATTCTTCAAAGTTAAGGGTAAAATTAAGAAGCATAACATGTTCCAAGATCCAATAAAATCAATCACCATTGGTAACTCAGATCCTGTCTGTCATGCATTTGATTCCAAAGCCAGAAGGGCATGATTTACCAATTGGGTTAAACTCGGGAGATGGTAACTTCTTTCCCCAAATTCTCCATTTCAAGTGGATTTATACATAATTTTTACACTAAAGTAATCACCTTTTCACTTTTAGCAAATGTTGGGAAGAAGTTAGTTGTTGCTCATCATTACAACAAAGATGGAACCCTTAACAACAGGTAACATATCATATTATCATACCAAATGAAATACAATCTTTTTTTTGGTTATTTCGACCTTATACACCATATTTATAAGTAATTTTCTCAAAAAAGTTGGTACCAATGACTCGACATTTCCTATAGTCAAGGATCAAGCTCAATTCTCTGTTGCACATGCATGTTCTAGCAAGGTACATAAATAACTTTTTTTTTATATTATAACAATATATTTTATATATTTTTACATAAAACAATTATGTGTTTATCTGCACCCTGCTATACATGTTATCACTACCAAACTACTTTTGAAAAAAAAAACATAAACCAAACTAATAACTTTTTTCTACTTGTACCTTTATGAGCAGCTCGGAAACCTCCTCCCTGTCATATGTACTTCTGCCTGTTAAGGGAAGAAGCCACCATTCTTCAAGAGTGGAGGTCAGGGATGTTGAGGTGGATAAAGGAGCCACCATGACAGAAAGATCAAAAAGACACAAGATGAAGTGAATAATAACCGGCCAAAAGAAAGTAATAATGACTTATCTTTGACGTGGAATACCACAGAAGGAGGTATGAAATTGTCAAAGTATCTCTCTCTCTCTCTCACACACACACACACACACACACTAATTACAGGAATCATGGTATTGTTTTTGTGGTGATTTTTAGGCTTCAGAAAGAGGAAGTAAGGATTACAGAATGCAACAGCAGAGGCATCCATTTAGCAAACTTGAGGTTTGTGAATGAAAATTTAATTTTTTTATTATAAATGATTCTTTTTTGTATGGTTAGTATGAAAAATGAGTGATTTGTTTATAAAATGAAATTGGAAAAGAAGAAGTTAGCATCTATGGATAAGGTCTAGAACAAGCATAGAGGGGAACAAATGAAAACTCAAGAAATGAGATGTAGAATGTCAGAAAGTGTTGCTCCAAGAGATTCTTGGAAATTTAGGAGGTTTTTCAAGAATTCAATTGGGAGTTGTTTCCATTGTCATCATGATTGAATCAGGTTAAATCATTTTAATTTTGACCTAATAAGTCAAAGGGTTTCTATTGTATTTTGCTGATAAGGTTTATGGTGTTATGATTATGCAACAGGTTAACAGAAAGTTGATGATGTAGCAATCAAACCATTTGGATAATTTGTAGTTTCCTTAAGTAAATTTTGTTAGATCCTCATTTTTTTGGAAGGTAAAGGGGAAAGGGAGGGGGGTAAATACGTAAATTCAAATATGCATGATTGGAGCAAGGTACATAATAGAACATTTTCGAATTGTGTTTGACTTTAGTTTGAGTTTGCTTCATTCATTGCAGGTAGATAGTTGGTCTTTAGGAATAACAACAACTGAAATGGCAAAAGGGGAACTTTCATTAGCAAATCTTCGTCCAATGAGAGTAGTTTTCATTATACACAGAGAAAGTCAACCTCAGGTCCTAACTTTTCCCTTTATTTCATCATTTATCTGTTTTTTTCTACATTATTCCTATTTTAC